TTTTTGAGACAGAGTCTCGCTCTTTCGCCCAGGCCGGAGTGTAGTGGCTCTATCTCCGCTCACTGCAACCTCTGCCTCCCAGGTTCAAGTGATTCTCCTGCCTCAGCCACCTGGGTAGCTGGGACTACAGGTGCATGCCACCACACCCAGCTAATTTTTGTATTTTTAGTAGAGACGGGGTTTCGCCATGTTGGCCAGGATGGTCTCGATCTTTTGACCTCGTGATCTGCCTGCCTCGGTCTCCCAAAGTGCTGGAATTACAGGCACTTTGGGAGTGCCTGAGCCACCGTGCCTGGCCAGAGAAAAGAATTTTGATAGGCCCAGCCGTGTGTCATATGGCCACTTCTGCGGAGGCGGGTATTGTAATTAATACCCCCACCAGAACCACTGAGAGGAACTTTTTCACAAAGGAAGAAGATGCTGCTGTCAGAAGTGGGGAAGGAATGCTGGAAAATAAAAAAATACAGCAAACCTGAACAGTCGCTTATCCATGTTGTGTGTCTGTAGAGTAAAAGTGATGAAGAAGTTAATCAAAAAACACACACACTAGTTCTCCCCGGAGGAGAGGGTGGCAATGGAGAACATGAGTCCAGCCTTCTTGAGGATAGTGAAGACAAGAAAAAGACCTAAGTATGTGAAGGAAGAAGGGAAGGAACAGGTGAACTACATTGTCAGGAAGTTTGAGTAACTCTCTAGCAGACACACAATCTTGGCTGGGAAGAAGACTATATTTTTTGGTATTGTAACTGCCCAGTGGGTTCATCTTGCCCACTACCTAGATAAACCCAGTTTATCAAGACAGGGGAATTGCAATAGAGGAAGAGTTTAATACATATAGAACCACCTAAATGGGAGACTGAAGTTTTTTCATTCAAGTCAGCTTCCCTGGAAATTCAGAGTCTAGGGCTCTGGCAGGCAGGTGGGTAGGGAAGGGGGAATGCTGACTGATTGGGAATGCATTCATAGGGCTGTGGAAAACAGCCCTTGAGTGCGCTTTTAGGTGGGAGCCACAGAGGTTTTTCTGGTTTGGGTGGGGCCACCTGGTGTCAGAAATCAAAAACCTGAAAAGACATCTCAAAAGGCCAATCTTAGGTTCTACAATAGTGATGTTATTTAATTGCAGAAGTTGCAACTCTTGTGACCTCTGGATAATCATTTAATTATGCCTACATCTTAGCAGAATTCAGGCCTCTCTCATCCTTCTAACCTGGTAGGCTTTAATTAGTTTTACAAAGGCAGTTAAATTTGAGGACAGGTTATTATTCAAACTATAAACTAAATTTTTCCCAAAGCCAGCTTGGCCAACACCCAGGAATGACCAAGGGCAGATGGGAGGTTAAATGCAACATGGAGTTGGTAAGATCATACCTCTTTTAGTGTCATAAGCTTCTCACTGTTAACGGTTTTTGTAAAGGCAGTTTCAGTATTTCTAGTGTTTTGGATCCTCGGCGTGGATTTGTGGACGGAGTAAAGGAAAGGGATAGAAAGTAAATCACAAGAACCAGAGTGAAGGAATGTGTGATAGGTTTATATTGTCTTTTTCCATCCTCTTCAGACATCCTTCAAGGTTGAGCCCTTTTTTTCAGCTGTGAGTCTCTGCACATGTCTGATACTCTCATGTCGCATGGATTCCAGAAAGACACTCCTTGCAGGAGAACATGGCCTCCCAGTGATGTGAGAAGAGATGTAATCTGATCTCCAGGGTACAGTGGCAACAGAGTAAGCCAGTTTGTTGAAGCAAATGATGGCTGCAGAAAATAGTCTTCAGGCACACTCATCCTCAAGCAGAGATCCCACACAGGGCCAGAAATCAGCCCCCCAAGGTAACAGCCCTGACTCCGAGGCCTCCCGTCAGCGCTTCAGGCAGTTTTGCTACCAGGAGGTAACTGGCCCCCATGAAGCTTTTAGCAAACTCTGGGAACTCTGTTGTCAGTGGCTGAGGCCTAAGACACACTCAAAAGAGGAAATCCTGGAGCTGCTGGTTTTGGAGCAGTTTCTGACTATCTTGCCAGAGGAGATCCAGACCTGGGTGAGGGAGCAGCACCCAGAAAACGGCGATGAAGCTGTGGCTCTGGTTGAGGATGTACAGAGAGCTCCTGGACAGCAGGTGAGAAAAGGAAGTTGGAACTTTGTGGTTTTGGTTATGAAGAAGTTGGGGAATCCAGTTGCTGGAGAGGTGCTTGGTGGAGAAACCCACAGTAGCCCTCTGCTGGCCACAGGAGGTTTTGGCTGTCTTGGGTTGGTCCTATGCCCTTATTGTACAGGAAGAATTTCTTATCTGTGGATACAGCTGTTAGACATTCATATATTTAGTAATATTTGAAGTCCCTAATTAAAGTGGTAAAAACACTCAGAAAAATTCTCAAAAACAAGACCAGTGAAAGGACAACTATCTTTCACTCAGGGGATGAGGAAAACTAGAGATATTGGTGACTGAAAATCTAGTTTCTTGCTTGAAGCTTCTTTGAGGGTAGAGTGCCATGTGTTGTACGCTCAACAAAAGTATATCAGAGCGAGGCCTTGCCCTGGTTCTTGCTGCCAGGATTGTGTTCATTTTGGGACACTGGTGGGTTCATAAAATATCCTCTTATGGTCAGGACTAGGTCTGAGATCTGATCAGTGTAACCAGCTTATATCTTCTGGGAGAAGGGAGGTGGGAAAGGCACAGGAAGAGGAAAAGCAACATGCCAGCTTCAGTTATGGAAGAGTTGGTAGGAGGAAGGCAACTGAAATTGGGTAAGTCTGGGAGAGGCCTAGAGTAATGGAGGGCACAGGTCAGAGGAATGTTATTTGGCCTGAGTGGGTCTGCAATCAGAGCAGGAAGCAGCTCACTGGGTGCCAGAGTCTGCATGGCTGGAATGGGAAGGACCTAGGCAGCAGACATGCTTGTGTTTCTCAGTGAGGAGGTAGGGATGTGCACCGTCAGTGGGAAGAGGAACAGCGAAGGGGAATATAATGAAATTTGGTAGGATTGAGGATTTAATACTTTGACTTAATTTATAGAGGGAAAAAGCATCTTGGTGGTGATGTATCAGGGAAGAAGTTGAGGAAATTAGTCTGCAATCTGTGGGACTGGGACTCTTATAAGTAAGATTGAGGGGAGGGGTGCAGTAGCACTTGTATGAAGGTAGAGCTTGGAGAACTGAACTACTATAAATAGAGTGGGAATCCCAATATGCTAATCATCATCCTAGCCCAGTTCCCCTTCCATCTCTCTGTTTGATGTTCTCTCTCCTTCTTATCCTTAACCATCTCAGAACCACACTTTTTTTTTTTTTTT